CCAGGAAACGTTGTCCGCCCACCTTTATATAGAGATGGCGGTCCATGCCACCCCCCCCCCCGCGGAGGAGCCCGCCCGCCGCCGCGGAGAACCGAGACGGAAGTGGTCCTTAAAGAAGATGAGCGACGATCACCTTCTGGCGGCGATCGTCGCTCAAAATTGGATCAAGAGGGAGGAGGGCAAGATCGAGGAGGAGGAGATCGATGGTACGGTCGAGGCAATGGTCAAGAACATGTCGTGTGCCTGCGACGTGGCGATGCCTCGGCTGCGCCCCTTCTACTCTAGACGACGCGCCTACTGGTGGACGGAGAAGTTGGCCGATTTGAGGCGCTCCTCCGTCCAAGCCAAAAGGCGATGGCTCAGGGCGCGCGCCGGCAGACGCGGCAACCTGGACGAGGAGAAAGCTGGAGAGGCCTGGCGTTCCGCCCGCGAGGACCTCTCCAGAGCAATACGTGCAGCCAAGGAGCTCTTCTGGAAGGAGCTCCTCAACAGCGTAGAGAAGGATCCGTGCGGGCGCCCATACAAATTAGTTCAAAACAAGCTGAAGTCTTGGGCGCCCCCGCTCATGGAGACGCTGGACCCTCCATTCGTTCGCGAGGTCGTCAACACTTTATTCCCCAAAAGTGAGGGGGAAGAGGTGAGATTTCCGGCGACCGAGCAGCAAGAGTGGAACGCGGAATGGAGCGTGAGTGAGGAGGAGCTGTCGAGGGCTCTCCGTAGGGTCGGGAGAGGCAGGGCCCTTGGACCTGATGGAATTCCAGGGAGAGCCTGAACCTTGGCCGCGGGGAAACTGACCGGGGAGATGTGCGGGGTGTTCACCGCATGTCTGCGCGCCGGTCGGTTCCCCGACAAGTGGAAGAAGGCTAGCCTGGTGCTCCTGTCGAAGGAAAGCAAACCTGCAGGTTCGCTCTCGTCTTACCGGCCCGTGTGTTTGTTGGACGAGGTAGGCAAAATTTTTGAAAGGGTGATTGCTGAACGCCTCGCCCAGCACCTGTCCCGGATGGGCGCGGAGGGACTCTCGGATGACCAGTTCGGGTTCCGTGCCGCTTGCTCGACGATAGACGCTATCAAGTGCGTCCTCGAGAGGACGGAGCTCAAGATAGAACTGGGGGGAGTAGTGATGGGCACTTTCTTTGACGTAAGAAATGCCTTTAATTCTCTCCCCTGGTGGGTGATAGGGGAAACGCTAAGGAGGCTAGGTGTGCCCCCTACCTCATCAGGGTCGTCCGGGATTATTTGCGGGGCAGGGGTCTGTCTTACGCGGACCGGGACGGGGTCCTGTGGAGCAGGTTAATGGAGTGTGGAGTCTCGCAGGGGTCCGTGCTTGGGCCCCTGCTGTGGATAATTGGTTATGACCTGGTCCTCAGGACTCCCCTCCCCCAAGGTTGCTGGCTCTCGGGATACGCCGACGACATCTTCCTGGGAGTCAGCGGGGGAGGATGGCAGGAGCTGTATAGGCTGGCCGAGGTAGCAGCGGCAAGCGTGGTGCGCTCGATAAAGAGGCTGGGCCTGGAGGTGGCCCCGCAGAAGACACAAGTCACAGTGTTCTTCGATAAAAAGAGGCGGGGCTCAGCCTCCGAATCAAAGGAGTGGCAGTCCCGACCAATCCCGAAATGAAATATCTGGGATTATGAGTGGAAAGCGATTGGAGCTTCAGGGAGCATGCCACTCGCGTGGCGCTGAGGGCCACGCTGGTGGCGAATAGCCTGTCGAGGTTATTGCCTAACCTCGGCGGGGCGGGAGGACGTGTTTGCTGCCTATACGTGGCGATGGTCCATGCGGTAATGCTCTACTGCTCGCTAATATGGTGGAAGAGGGTGGGGGAATCCCGCACCCTCAGAGCAAAGCTACTGGCTGCGCAGCGAATAATTGCGACCAGAGCCGCTAGGGCTTACAGGACTATCGCTCACGTGGCGGCGACGACCCTCGCTGGGATACCTCCGGCACACTTGCTGGCCGGGTCGTACGCCGAAGTATACGAAGGTGTGAGCCTGGTCAGGGAACGGCTGGGGGTAGTTATCCCAAGCGCAAGGAGGGCACTGAAGCTCCAGACAAGACAGACCTTTCTCCAGCGCTGGAAAGATTGGGCTCTCCAGCAGGAATATGGGAGAAGGGTCGTGGAGGCTGTCCACCCAGTTTGCAAGGATTTGGTGGAAGGCGGGAGACGGAGAAGACTCGCCTCCATGCCGTGCAGGTGCTGACGGGCCATGGCTGTTTTGGCAAGTACCTGCATCGGGAAAGAGCGCACCACGCGTTGTCACCACTGCCCGGAGAGAGCGGACACGGCGCAGCACACGCTGGAAATCTGTCCAGCGTGGGCAGACGAGCGCCGTGCTCTCCGGGCGGTAATAGGTGAGGATCTCTCTCTCCCGGCTGTCGTTAAGGCGGCAGTCGGAATAGGGG